TGCCTTGGACTCTGATTTAATTTTGGATATTATTTGGAACCCTGACATTAACCCGAATCTCCCTTAAAATACTTCACCAGCTGTCCCAAAATTCGGGGTGCTATATGGGGTCTTGAGCCCCAGCATCGACCCGAGCTTGGGTGGCCCAAAGCCTCAGTGAAGATGGAGGAGGAGAAGAAAGCCACGAGGAGAGCAGCAGATGACAGATCGCCTGTCTATGTTGAGACCATCTACGTGCCTTCCAAAGCCGTGGTGGAAGCCGTGGAGAGGGAATGCTAGCTGGGAGCCAGGCGCAAAGAGCCAGCCCCTAGGCCTCCCTTGCAACCAGAACTACCTCTGCAAGATGAAGCCTCGAAGCCTGGAGAGGGGGTTTCTAGCAGGGCGTGGGAGAGAGAAAGAGGCTCGTTGGGCTCCTTCCACCTCACGTGGAATGGGAGTTGCAGTCGGGGAGGGTGGGAAGCCCAGCCCGCCCGTCCTGGCCAACAGCTCTCTTCCCTAGGAAGCGACCGCCGGGATTCCCTCTCCACATATTTGGGCACGCAAGCTGGTTTTCATGCATGCGCGCCAGAAACCAGACCAGGTGGCCGACGTGCATGCACATGCCGGAAACTGGAATATCATCTTCCCGGCATGCGCATGTGCACTGAGCAGCCACTATTTCAGTTTTTGGCACTCCGGTGCATGTGAAGACCAGCCGGTAGGCACACCAGAACCCGGAAGAGCAACAGTGATGGCTCCGTGTGCCCAGAGAAATTGTTCTGCATGCCACTTCCTGCACACGTGCCATCGGTTCACCAGTATGGTAATAGGGTATGCAAATAATGAATAGTGTCTCTAAATCCACACTACAATTTTTTTTTAGTATAGTGACATTTTTACACCATTGGTTGTTAATATAAAAGCAGATACCTCCTCCCTTCTTTTTACCAGATTTTCTGCAATTCTGTTCAGTCTTAAGAGGGCTAGCGATAGCTAGTGTTCAAATAACTGAAGCTGACATTAAAAAGATATTCTTTATCATACCAATGATAATAGACTAATAGTCAGGTTTAACAGAGTAATAGTCAAGCAAGAAGGTAGATTATGAGGAATATGAAGAAAAAAAGCCCTATCAATAGTAATTATTTCAATAGTTCTCATCTGAAGAAATCAGGTATAGCTCCATATCTTTTAAAAAATAAAGATACAATTATATATCTGTTCATACGCGTTATTCTTGACATGACCACAATTCAGCCCAAAATTTCTGTTGCTAAGCAAGACAATAGTTAAGTGGGTTTTGCCCCATTTTATAACTCTCTTGCCACAGTTGTTTGATGAATCATTACAGTTGTTAGTAACAGTTGTTGAAGGCATCTGGCTTCCTCATTGACTTTGCTTGCCAGAAGGTTCATCAACAAATCACATCCATCACGTGACTCTAGGACATTGTAACTGTCGTAAGTATGAACTAGTTGTCAAGTATCTGAGTTTTGATCATGTCACCATGGGAACGCTACAACAGTCATAAACGTGAGAAACACTCCTAACTCTCTTCAGTACTTTTGTAACTTTGAACGGTCACTAAACAAATGGTTGTAAGTCGAGGACTACCAATATTTGATATAAATGTCATGATATGATGCTTTCCCAACTTTTTATAATGTGAACATACTTTGGCAATACTTGTAAAATATTAGTCTATAGTATTTATTAAGTGAATATGCATGTTTTGATTGCATTTCTAAAACCTAGCATATTTAAAAATGTGAATTGTCCTTGTAAGATAATATTTTGTTATCTTTTTCAGTTTGTTAAGAGAACATTCTATTGATGGCACTGGCTGGGCTCCAACTAGAACCTTAAAGGTGAGTTATATATAGATATTTCTTTCATTTTACTTTGGATATTAGAAACATTTCAGAAAACAAATGCTTAAGCTGCTACCAACTCATGTAATATTGATTTCAGTGAGAGTTTAAGCTCTAGTCCTCTAAAGTAGATGGGACTAAAAAAAATCATTTAGAAATTTACATGGCTGCCTGTTTTGTAAAAGACAACTTTGGGCACAATAAGTGTGAAACATTTTCAGAGCACCCAAGGAACTATGGGAAATGGGACTTCCACTCCTCCTTCAATCAAAACAGAGCCAGAAGGGACCTTGGAGATCTTCTAGTCCAATCCTCTGCTCAAGCAGGAGATCCTATACCATTTCAGACAGGTTGCTGTCCAGTCTTTTCTTAAAAACCTCCAGTGATGAAACACCTACAGCTTCTGAAAGCAATTTCTGTTCCACTGGTTAATTGTCCTCACCATTAGGAAGTTACTCCTTAATTCCAGGTTGCTTCTCTCCTTGATTAGTTTCCATCCATTGTTTTTTGTCTTGCCTTCTGGTGCTTTGGGAAACAATTGACCTTCTTTGGGGCAGCCCCTCAAATACTGGAATATTGCTATCATGTCACCCCCAGCCCTTCTTTTCTCTAGACTGACCGTGCCCAATTCCTGCAACCGCTCGTCTCCATACGTTTTTCTCTCCGGGCCCTTAATTATCTTAGTTGCTCTTCCTTGCACTTTTTCCAAAGTCTCAATATAAATATAAATAAAAAGCAACATTCAACATCTTTTTTGTAATGCAGGTGACCAAAACTGGATGCAGTATTCCTGGGGTGGTCTTACTAAGGATTTGTAAAGCGGTACTAATGCATCAAGTGATTTTGATTCTGTGCCTCTATTTATACAACCAAGGATTGTATTAGCTTATTTGGCTGCTGCCATACATTGCTGGCTCATGTTTAAGTGATCCTTCACCAGGACTCCCTCTCACAGTTAACTGTTTTTGAGCCAGGTTTCACCTAATCTCTACACGGGTCTTTGGTTTTTCCCTGCCTAGGTGTAAAACTTTTCTCTACATTAAATGTCATGTCGTTGGACGAGGGCCTTCTGTTCAAGCCCGTCAAGGTCTTTTCTGACCCTGAGTTGTCTTCTGGTTGGCTATTCCTGCCAGCTTAGTGTCACCTGCAAATTTGATGAGTTGCCTTCTATTCCCTCATCTAAGTCATTTATGAAGATATGGAAGAGTGCTGGGCCTAAGACAGAACCTTATGGCACCGTGCTGTTACTTCCCTCCATGTGAATGTAGTGCTATTAAGCACTGCTTGTTGCGTACTCATTGTGTGCAGTTTGTCAGAAAGTTATGAATCCATCTGGTAGTGATGCTGTCACATTGTTCTAATTTACTAAGAATTAGTCTGTGATATATTTTATCAAATGCCTTGCTGAAGTATATTATGTCCACAGCATTTTGCTGGTCTACTAATTTAGCCACTATGTTGAAGAATGAAATAAATTTGGTTTAGCCTGATCGGTTTTTAACCAACCCGTGCTGGCTGCTAGTTATAACTTCATTTATTTCTAGATGTGTAGAGGTTTGTTTTTTATTATCTTTTCCAGAATCTTCCCAGATATTGTTGTTCAGCTGATTGGTCTGTAGTTTCCTGGGTCTGTTTGTTTTTCCTCCTCTTGAGGATGGGAACCACATCAGCTCTTCTCCAATCCTCCAGTCATTTTATTTCTTTTTGAAATAGATTTGCTTTTCCTTGTTGTGACATTGCGTCTATTAATCTTTGCTTTAATGGCCTGGAGGTTGCTAGTGTTAATGTAAATCCAGATGGGCCACCAAGTTAATCCAAAATCTAAATCAAGAGGCCGTTTCCCATAGTCTCTAAACAGTTCCCGGTTATTCCACTGATCCGCTCTTGCAAACGTATTTGTAAAAAAAGACCAATTCTCTCAGTCTCCAAGCCATTTCGCAACACCGACAGTAACCATAATCCACAGCAAGTTTCCAAAAGAAAACATTGCCTAGATCAAGAAAACAATCTTCCAGGTGTTGTTTACCTTTCACTTTGGCTTGCCGTCAAGGTCTTTTCCAGCAATGTAATAGAATAATATCTTTTTTCACCAGTAGGTGTCACCCCAGTTCTAACTTCCAATCTTGAAGCGAAAGATACAGCAGCCGATTGTTAAATAATCAAAATGTTCATTTCTCTTTATAAGGTTCTTCCAGTAGTCAAAAGATGTTGTTATCTAAAGGTTTAAGTCACTTTCCACAGTATTATAAGTTCTAGTCTGGTCTTTCTGTATTTTAAGGCTTAATAGTCTCCCATTAACGTTTCATTCCTCTTTTGGGTCTGTTGTCGATCTCCGCGTATTAACTCACTGCTTTTTCTACGCTTTGGAGAGTTTCTTTCAGAGGAAAAAAAGCACTTTTATTTAAGGATAGGTCTTTAATGTAGAAATTGAAAATAGTCTTATGCAGTTCCAACGCTCTGTTCACAAATAGCTCGTTAGCGGTTCTTCGGTTACCACAGCTTCAGTCCGACCATAATGGCAATCTCTCTCCTTCGTTAGTCGGGGGGGGGGGTGCCTTGGCCCCAGTGGGACAGCCGGCGCTCTTCCACAATCAACAAGGAGACCCCTCTCTTCTTCATCACCCCTCCAGGGCGACTTTGGCTCCTTAGGGCCATGATGGCAAACCTATGGCATCTTCCCACCTTATGGATTGGCTGAATCCACATTCGGACTGGAGGGAGGGATCCTAAAGCCCTCCTATTTCTAACTGTTTAGTTTGGGAGGGAATTTAGAGTCTGTTCCATCTATCCTGCTATCTCATACTTTCTCAATAAAAGATTCCTTTTGAAATACCGCGTTTTCAAGAGTCTTCTATGCTTTCTTGGGAAAGGAGGAGAGACAATAACATTTCTTCATACGATGTATCTGTTGTTCCCTGTTGAATCACTAATATTTTAGGTTTTATTCAATGTTCCACCATAATTCCATTATCTCAATTTTCTAGAAACACTAATAAAACCAATTATTAATAAGATTTAATCAGTCCCGGGATTATATCTCCAATTCTCCTGAATTTATTTTCCTTGAAAGCTATAAGTTTCAATATATTTTTACATACTATTAATAATAACATGTTTCTCAAAAAATATGACCCACCTTGAAAAGAAGCCCTATCATGTTTTTGAGCACATGCGATCAAATTAAGCCCACCCACAAAATTATCCCTAATTAAGACCCCCACCCACCCACTCGGGTGCGGGGAGAGGGGCGAGGCACACAGGTAAAAAATAAGCTAGGGTGGGGATGGGGGTGGAGCTGCCCTTCTTACCAGGCCTCACACACCCCAGCACCTGCCTTGCCTTCTTCCGTGGCCGCCAGCTGCCACTTGCACGCATCTCCCTGGCCTTCCTTTCACCTTCGGAGGCCGGGGCAGTGCCTGGAAGTGGCGGGCAAGCAGCCGCAGAAGAAGTGGGCCAGCAGCTGGCTCCTGCTGGGCGGGGCTGTGGATGCCACCGCTGCAAGGTGGGTCAGTAATTAGAGCTTCCTCCAAAAAGAAGGCCTAGCCATTTTTCCAGGGGTCAAAAGAAAATAAGACCCGGCCTTCTTTTTGGAGAAAGACGGATAATGAAACATTTAAATGTACCTAATCATATTCTTCCACCTCCTAACCTTAATATATTTGTGGTTATAATAAATTGTATTATATGTCAACATGCATACTACTTTTATTATACTTTCTACTTTTTTCTATTAGTTTTTAACACAATCACTGTGTTGCAAGATATTTTTGGGAGATCTTCCTTTTTTTTCCTCTGTTCTATTGTAAACTCTTAAAGAATTATCTATTTGTTTCTTAGTACTTATTGTTACTGTCTCTTCAGTGTTTTTGTCTTGTAAATTATTTTGATTTGTCTCCTCCACCACTCCTTCTAATTTCTCATCTGTCTTCTGAATATTATGTTCATCTTTTCCACCATTTGTTGAGGGTCTTCTACATATCTTTATCTTTGAACAACCCCATCATCTCCTTATGATTCTTTGTCACATTTTCATAAATACTTTTAAGCATCACTAACATTTCTTCATACATCGCATCTCCTATTGATTCACTTTGTAATAATATAAAAATTGCTTAATATTCCACTAAGATTCCTGTGTCCAAATATTTAAAAACTCTAAAGAAGCCAGTTATTAATAAAATTTAGTCAATCCCAGAATTATACCTCTAAATCCCCTAAATTTATAATCCTTAAAAGCTATAAATTGATCATTTACAATCTTTATAATTTTCCAGTTTACACCTTCCCAGTTGTCCAAATTTTAAAGTCTTATTTATCTTTTCTTCCTTTTTCCTTTTCTTATATCACCTTTCTTCTTTTGCCTCATAAGATGTTCTGTCAAGTATCATTAGTAATCCAAGTCCAAATTAGCCCACCCAGTTTCTTCAAGTCTTTCAAGCCCACCTTCTTCCAGTAAGCAGTTTTAATAGGGTTTTAGTTTTTTGGCAATTCAGTTTGTCTTAAAAATCTTCAAAAAGCT